CACCCCCCCCCCCCCCCCTCCCCAAGACTGTACATGAGGATTGCTGGAAAATAATGCACACACAGACTGTAATATCCTGTTTATTTAAGAAATGTGTCCCTGGCAAGCCTTACTGGCAAGTTTGAAAATCCAATTTGGCAGAGGTAAATTGAATATATTGTAGTTCCGGACATGAAAAGTCATTAATCAGGTTCGGAGACAGACAGACAGATAGATGTGGATGTAGAATTAAGTTCATGGCCATCTGGCCAGATAAGGAAAATGAATGCAAAAGTTATTTTTGCTTCTGTTTTCCTTTTTTTGTGAGTAGCGTTAACTGAGCCATCTCAGAGGTGGTCCCTGGTTGGCCTGAAATGGGACAAATGATTTCCTGCTTGTATAATGAGCCAATATTAGAAATATGTAAGTATCTCAAGAGACTGACTATAGTTCAAAATTGGAGGAGATCTGGTTTATGATGGCATTGTTGACTGTTATTGCCGCGTCAACTGTGATCTTGGACATTGAGTGCACTTTTAGAAAGAAACTTGGGGGAGGGTTAGAACCCCCTTAGAACCTCCTGAACCTTGGAGCCGATTTGGCGCTAGACCGGTCTGTGCAGGCTCGCTCCCCCTCTGCTCCAACAGTCTAAGGTCCTGTGAGTCATCATGTCCAATTCATTGTATTGGATGTGAGGACAGCGAGGGACATGTCTTTACCAGAGCAGAGAAAGAGAGAGACTGCAGGGAGCGCTCTAGCAGCCCATCACCAGAGCAGAGAAAGAGGCTACAGGGAGCGCTCTAGCAGCCCATCACCAAAGCAGAGAAAGAGAGAGGCTACATTGAGCGCCCTAGCAGCCCATCACCAAAGCAGAGAATAATAGAGGCTACAGGGAGCGCTCTATCAGCCAGCCGGCTCCGAGGTTCAATTGAGTATACTGTATCTTTGTCATTTTCATCCCTAGACAAAAGCGAGCACTTAACCCTTGCAGTGCAGGGCCAGCCTCACTGTAAGGGTTAAGATTTTTTTCTGCCCAGAGTTCTTCTTTCCCATAACAATAATTACACATAAAGAGAATGCCTTCGAGTCTGACCTCAGTGCAACGTCGAGACAGTTCATCCATGTGATGTGAATGACTTTTGGCCAAGCGCTTTATCCATTTTCCCAGATTAACCAATGTTCCTTTCTAAATTGCTCCACAGTATTCATGGAATGCTTCTAACTCTAAAGTGACAAGCTGGCCTTTAATACCGAGCAATTCTTTATACTCTCACGTATATTGCCAAAAGAATCAGATGAAGCACAGGGCAGCCAAATCGCATGGTCTGACATGGTCCATGGCTTTAAATTAAGCAGCTCACGAGAAGTCTATTGATTGCAGTCTGAACTTGGATTATAAATTGTTTACAATCAGGACACATACTGTATGTAGATTCTCTTCTGTTAGACTCTTTATACTGCTTCTTGAGCTCGAGCCATAGAAAGCATTACATAAGAAAGAATATGCCTTTTATTTGGTTTTACTTATACATTGTTTTTTTGTTTTCACTGCCCTGTAGAACGGGCATACAGCTAAAAATAACAGCTGTATTACATCTAGTGCTTAATTGAGGAAATCCGGCTGACTCTCAAGGTTTTCCTCACTTTGCCACACTTTGCTGGCATTTATTTGCGTCTGTTTTTTTTTGTAAAATATTACAAAACAAATAAGTTTTTTTAAACATTTATACACTTGTTTTAGGCCCGTTCACACCAGGGCGGTTGGCCGCGTGGATTTGGCGAACCGCCCCCTGCTCGAACTGCTCCTTGCACTATTTTTGCCACGCTGATCAGTGTGGTTTCCATACAGCTTTCAATGGCACTGCGCTGATCAGCGCGCTATTGGGCATTTTTAATTGCGTTTCAGCGATGAACTGCAATTAAAGACTCCCGAAACTTCCCTTTTGAAATCAGCGTGGAAACTGCGCTGATCCGCAGCCGACCTGGTGGGAATGGGCTCTGAAGGTCAAATGTTAAATCTTGGAGTTTAAATGAACTCATAGAGGGGAGTTTATGAAAACTGGAGCAGGCAAAATCTGGAGCAGCTGTGCATGGCAATCAATCAGATTCTCTCTTTCATTTTCAAATCTTAACTGAACAAACTGAAGAGAGATGCTGATTGGTTGCCATGCACAGCTGCTCCAGATTTTGTCTGCTTCAGTATTGATAAATTCCCCTCATTGGGTATAGCCTTCCTACTGATAAATAGGTAACACCTTTCTTACTAACATACTGTAATGGGCAGCTAGGTGTCCTATAACATGTTGGCTTCATATAAGTAAAAAAGCAGCCTAATGTGTTTACTGGTTCAGACCCCAACCTCTCTATAAGATTAGACCTACCCACATGCATTGGCACTAGAAAGCGTGTGACAGAAGGCTGGAGCCATTTTGGGATTTTTTTTTTAATAAAGCCAATAAGCACTCAGATCTGACTTTTTATTATCTTCCTGTATAGATCTGAAACTCGGATATAACTATGTTGGTCAAATTATTAATATTAAAGTGTAGGAATAGAGAAGTTTTGGATAGGCTAAACCCATGTCAGTTTAGAGACAGACACAGTTGCTTTCTCTGTCCCACTAGTGAGGTTTCCCTTCACAACCTGTCCAGGAGGCATAACAGGATATAAAAGCAAATCTGCTCAAAGTGAGGGGAATTCTCATATTTGACAGATGGCAGTAAAACATTTGTCCCAATTGGATTATTTATCATCTTGCTTTGGTGACAACTTTAAAATTCTGGATTTCCCCCCACTTTTTGTCTCAGGGACATATAGAGAAGGTGAATCTCCCCATTTGGGACACAAACAGCAATAAAAAAAGTGACAGTGGTCCTAAATTGAGCTGGAGTGAGTGACTTCTTCATACTGATTTGCGGAGGCATCCATGGTCACCTGGCACCCACCCGATACTTGAGGGTATTATCCTGTCAGGTGTGCAATGTGTTTATTTTGATTATTGAACAGCGGTTCTAACTCTTCCCCATTCTATCCAAACCTAAAATAAGTTTTGCCTCTACCTACACTATAAGCTGAACACAATCACATAGAACCCTACAAATGGAAAGATGATCAATTCCCTTTAAATATTTCAACACCAAAGGCTACACGTGACTACGTGTTTGTCTGTAAAGGATTTCACTATTGACAGTGTTGTCTTTTTTTTCTAGGAAAGATTTCAAGTAAAGAATCCTCCACACACATATATCCAGAAGCTGAAAGGCTACCTAGATCCAGCAGTAACAAGGAAGGTAAGAGGATATTTATTATCCATTGTGGCAGATCATTCCTGTGTGTGCTAGTTCCGATGTTCTCTGATGGGTAATCCGTTACACTGATGTTCCAGGGGGACTTCCAGCCAACGGTTGTCTGTTGGAAAGTCTTTGAGGGAATCCAAAAGAGCTGAGGGTTGACAAACATCACAATGCCGTCCAAAAATGGCATTAAGAAAGGGAGCCGTTATTTATAGGTGAATTTGACCTCTTACCAGATCAGTGGGATAGCAACTGACTTCACTTCTAGACATGGAAAAGAAATAACTTAGCAATAATGAAATCCATATCTTAAAATACAGCTTTACTGCTATAAAAATATATGTAATTATTAGTATCCAGGCAGACCAGATGTGTTCATATCCCGTACTGATGTCTACGCTTCATGAAGAGGAGATCAAATTTCTGATTGCTTCTCCTGTCTTTCCCATTCAAACAATCTCAGCGTTAGGATTTTATACAGTTGACATTGGACTGCAGCTATGAGAGTTTAACAGGCCTGTGTGCTTCTTTATTCATGTATAGTGTCTACCAGTGGCCAGGCCTTGGACATTAAAAATGTGTACATTGGTAAGCAGTAGGGATGCACTGATACTGATACCGATAGCAGTATCGGTATTGATGCCGATACTGGGCATTTCCATGAATACTCGTACTCGTGAAAATGCCCCGATACCAAAAAACGATACTGAGGGTTTCATTTTGCAAATTGAAGTGGCTGCTTTAGGTCCGCCGTCCTTGCTGGTGACCGCGTGGGAGCCTTTTTGGGAACCACGCAGCACCGGTGTACAGCAGTTCCGTTGGCCCGCACAACTCCCCATCCTGAGAACCTCCACACATCTCCCCCTCCTGAAACCTTCCACACATCTCCCCCTCCTGAGACCCTCTGCCTGATACCTCAGGCCAGCACACCAGAACAGAGTGGCAGCACATAGTATCTAGTATTATTCGGTATTGCTGTATAATGTATTGCTGGGATTTGTAGTCCTCTACATCTTGGAGTCAGTGGCAGAACTACTAGTGTCTCAGCGGTCGCAGCTACTGCAGGTGCCATTCTGCTGGCATTTTTAGTCCTGTCTAGCTGATGCCATTATTCTGCATTGCTGTATAATGTATTCCTGGTACTTGTAGTCCTTTATACCTGATGGCATTATTCTGCATTGCTGTATAATGCATTGCTGGGATCCATAGGCCTCTTTAGCCAGTGCCATTCTGCATTGCTATATAATATATTGCTGAGATTTGTAGTTCCTCTACATCTTGGAGTCAGTGGCAGAACTACTAGGGTCTCAGCGGTCGCAGCTAGTGTCCTAAAATCATTAGTCTGTTTTGTTTAAAAAAAATATCACCTGACACTAAAAAAAGGTATCGGTAATTGGTATTGAGTACTTGAGGAAAAGTTTAGGAACTCAAACTCGGTCTTGACAAAATGGTAACGGTGCATCCCTGGTAAGCAGTAATGAGCTTTAAAACAAGCCTTGACTGACCTCTGTAATTGTAGGCACTGTGGAGCAATTCATCTTCATATTTACAGCAGGTGCACTGAAGTCCTTCAAATCGGTTCTCCCAGCAGCCCAGTTCCTCTTGTTCCCCCTTCTCAGTTCTCCTCTGTTTTTGCACTAGGGATTAGGTGGCTGGATGTTTTCTGAGTCAGTCCTGTTGAAGGGAACTTAGCTGCTGAGTGGCTAGATGGAAGATGGAGCTGTAATAGCTTAAACCAGCACTTTTGTACTTCTGGTGTAAGTGTTCAGAATTAATTATTCCACTGTGGATGCAGTTACAGAGGATCATTTGCTACTTGTAAAAAATATGTAAATATTTAAAAGTCCATACCCTGCCCACAACTTTACATGTTCAATTCCACACTATATTTCAGTTTTGGGTGATTTTTGGCAAGCTGAATTACATGGTGGGCCTTAGACATGCAGATGCATCTGCTGGTTCTTGATCGTGTTAACCCTCTCTATAGTACCTTGCAGCTTAGCCAGTGATATCCACATGGTGCAGTACTCTCTCACTAATGAGAAGAAGAAATAAGCAGCTCCATTTACAAATATATTCTAATAGGTTGTTAATTATGTTGTAATATGTATTTATGTCAGGCCTAAAGCAATCTGATTTTGGCGTTAGGCCATGAAACTCCTTCGGGTTCTAAAGTATCCATTTCAATTGAGGACTAGACCGACCAACTAAATATCCTCCATTCAGATTACTAGTATACAATCCTTGGCATTAATAAACCTGTACATATAGAGGGCTGTGTCACTGGAACCACCATAGCAATTTCGAGTTGAGCTGCAAACTGAGATTTTTATTTGGATGGTTCAATGTTTTAAAAGGGAAAATTGGCTGTTGCACAAAAGCACTTCTAAATTGATACTGTTCTTATATGTCAGAAGTACATACACATTAAACACTAAGTGGTTAGGTATTATTGTAGATGACTGGAAGCTGCTATGGAGCTTTTTTTTTCCAATCTGTCCTAGAATTAATATTTCTTGCGAAAACACTGCTTATGGAAATTGAAACGCGGGCATTTGTGGGTCCGCCATTGTTCCAGCGATGGCACAATTCCACAGCACGCACAGTATATAGGATTGTAAGTCTTGGGAAATTCTATGGCTGGGATGTCAAACCAAAGGGGCACAAAGGACTGCTTTGTGTGGACCTTCATTCTTAAACTGCAGAAAGTTTGAGGGAATAAAGTGTACCTGTCTTTGTCACAGATGAACAATTGAAACCAAAGACTAAATAAACCTAAAGCTCTTTTTATTCTAAAGTGGTATTGTATATTTGCATGTTTACCTTTACCTTTTTATAAACTTCTGATTGTTTTATTATTCTCATTGATATTTTAAGGTATTTTATGTAAGCCATCCTATGTAAGCCATCCTCTTGACTCCCACATCTTGTGGCTTTAACGGTAAACTCCAGGCAAACAACTTAATACACAGATGAAATACATACAGTATATGAGAGCTGTTTTACCTGCCAAATGATGTGTATGGTTTGATTTATAATCCTGAAATTGATACATCTCTGCCACACAGCACAGCCGTGTCTGGCAAGGCTGGAGACCTGATTTTTCTCTGCTGCAGTTTAGTAACAGTTACAGTTCTCCTCCTGATCCCCACCATGTGACTGGACAGTGAAAGGAGCAGCAGCACACCAATGAGCTCATCTGTCTGCCACTCTGCTCTATTCTCCTATCACCATGTTCCTAGCATTGGCTCCTTGTGCTGCTTCTCCCTCTCCCAATCTAAGCTCCTCTGTATAGTAGACTGCAGATGACTGCTACGGAGCCAAATTGCACTGCTTGCATTAAAGAAAAAAAAATAATCATGTAATAATGAATGGCAAGCTGTTTTAATTTGTGTCTTTTTATATCTGGCTGGCGTTTGGCTTTAATTTATGTGTCAGACTGAGTGTTTGATTAAACATAACCAGAGGTTACTTTAAGGGCCTGTTCACACGACGTCCGTTTTGTGTGCTGACCGGCTCCGTACGCTGCTGCACTCAAAATGCATCCCAATGTATCCCTATGTGGCAGAAAAAATACTGCATGTCACATTTTGTCCGGTCCGGAAACGGTCCGGAAATGCACGAACGCGCACGAAACGCAACGAAAACGGAACGGAAACGCAACGCAATGCAGCTAAGGGGGAAAAAAAAGAAAAAATTGTATTCTTGCTCCACTTATTATGATGTCATCAACGTTGACAAAAAATTAACTGTCAGCATCCGGACCGAAAACGCATCAAAAACGCGTCAAAAACGCACTGCATCAGCAGCTCCACGTCTGCTGATCAGCACCTGATCAGGACCTGATCTCATGTGAACAGGCCCTAAATGAAAACCATGTCATAAGCAGCTGGAGTCATTTGCAAATCTTCACCTTTCTTATAATATTTACATTTTGCCCCTCCCTGACCATCCTATTGGTCCTTTAAGAGAATGAGTGGCCTCACTAACCAATAGGGAGGCTTGGTAGGTAGGGACACTGCCAAGCTCAAGTCTTGCAAGAATACTTAAAGTAACACTAAAGTGAGTTAAATCTTAAAAATGCATTCAAGTACCTGAACTAACAAAAAGGAAACGTATTTATGCATCACTCGGCTGTAGATCCTCAAATCATCTCTGAATTGGTGCTGACACTATCCTTCCTTCTGGAGGGGGGCTACTTTTGTTCCCCATGGTCCCTGTGTATGTTGTAAAGTAGTCACCGCTCCAAGCTTGCTCCTGTGATGGACTACAGTCTCAATACAAATTAGTAAACTAAACATGAGATTGTAGTCCATCTTGGGAGCGAGCTTGGAGCGGTGACTACTTTACAACACACACAGGGACCATGGGGAACAAAAGTAGCCACCCTCCAGAAGGAAGGACAGAGATGATTTGAGGACTTACAGCTGAGTGATGCCACGTGGCCATAAAATGTCTGTGGAATTACCTACCAAAAGTCTATGTGTTTAGGGCCTACCTAATTTATCCATTCAGGCATGCCTTTGCACTACATACTTGTTGGTAAAGCTAAAGTAGGTTGTACAATCAGATTATAATGAGTGTGGTGAGCTTAAGCATGAGTACATTGTAATCAAATGTTGTATTTCTTTAGAAGTTTCGCAGAAGAGTGCAGGAGTCCACTCAAGTGCTAAGGGAGCTGGAGATATCTTTGCGGACAAATCACATAGGGTAAGTTATATTCTCTAAATACCTGAAGAAGTCTAATTTACTTAACGGCCTTCATTATGACCTGAAGAGAGGGATCTAATGCTGTTTAACTGCTGGGTGGACTGTGAGAATTGGTGTACATGGTATTGGAAGCCCCACACCTCTTCTCCAGCAACAGTCATGTTATGTGTCTTATTTGTGGATTTATTTTGAATGGTTGGCAGCACCAGCAGAATCCTTAATCCTTGTTAGTGGCAGGCAGCACCAACGGCATCTTTAATCCTTGTTAGTGGCAGGCAGCACCAATGGCATTCTTAATCCTTGTTAGTGGCAGGCAGCATCAATGACATCCTTAGTCTTAATTAGTGGCAGGCAGCACCAACAGCATCCCATTCTTAGTCTTTGTGGGCAGCACCATTAGCATCCCTATCTTTTATTAATCACAGGCAGCACTAACGCCATCCTTAGTCTTTGTTAGTGGCAGGCAGCACTAACAGCATCCATAGTCTTTATTAGTAGCAGGCAGCACCAATAGGATTCTTAGTCTTTGTTGGTGGCTGGCAGCACCAATGGCATCCTTAGCCTTTTTTAATCACAGGCAGCACCAACGGCATCCATAGTCTTTATTAGTAGCAGACATCACTAACAGCATTTGTATTCTTTATTCTTTATTAGTGGCAGGCAGCGCCAACAGTATCCTAAGTCCCTATCAATGCCAAGAAGCAACCAACAGCATCTTTAGTCCTTGTCAGTGACAATCAGCAACCAACAGCATCTTTAGTATTTTTCAGTAGCAGGTGTCATTAACACTACAGCATCCTTTATGCTGGTACTTCGCTATGTTTGCTGTTACATTTATAGTTCATATTTTATTATTTTCACCTAGGACAGGTTCACTTAAATGTCAACGCAAAACTGAAAAGGAAGCCTTGAGATGTATACGTTGAGCAAAAACTGCCTGCTCATCTTGGCATTGATGTAATGTACCTATCCACGCCCCTCCCTTTTGATGGTTATATGGTTAGTTATCTGAGAACCCCTGCCTGTGATGCAGGAAAGCTATTCCCAAACACACAAATGCAGGCTCGTTGCTGACTCTGGCATTGCCAAAAAGCTTTTTACAGCCACCAGTAAGATTTAATGCTTCCTAAGAGTTTTCATTGTAAGTCGTGATACAAGAACAACAAAGATGTAGTACATTTCTTAACAGAGGTTTCAGGAAGTACCTTCCCAGTGCTGCTATGAGGTACTCCATGAATTCTGCCTACAATGGATTACAGAACAATTCAATAAAGGTAAATTCAGTGAAGTTAAAGTGACATTAAACCCTCAGATTTTTTAACATAAACCAATACTGTAATGTGTGCCTTACTGTAATCCATGGTAGTTTCCCTTCTCTTTGCTGCTCTTCCTTTTAAATCCTCATGTCTTCTCATGCTGGGGGAGAACTTCCCTTTGTAGCTGAGTGCCTCTTCCTGTAGGGCTGGCTCAGGTTGCAAACCTACACACAGACACCATGTATCCATTTCAGAGACAAGGCAGTCTGCTGCAAAACAGAAGTTCTGCCCAGCATGAGAACAGATACAGATTTAAAAGGAAGAGCAGCAAAGAGAAGGGAAACAACCATGGATTACAGTAAGGCACACGTTACACTATTGTTTTATGTTAAAAAATCTGAGGGTTTAATGTCACTTTAAGTTTTTAGAACAGCTACATAGTTTTCTGGACAGCATTAGTAGCTCGACGACTACTTTCATGCTCCTGAAATTGCTGTCCATAGATCACTGGGAATCAGTGGAAACCCTTCTGGGTCTCTTACATTTTCTCAGGGTGGCGGGACCATGTAATTTAAGACGTATGAAGTGGTTATCAGACTTCTTTAATGAGAATTCTAAACATTTAAAGTGTATCTAAACCCTTTTTTTTTACCTTTCAGGTTTTTATATGCTGTCTGTGATACAGCGTTAATTGTATTAGTTTGCTAAATTCCTATTTGCAGATTGTGTGATTGGGATATTTGCTGTATTTGATTCATAATTTTCTTGTGAAAAAATAGATTCCCCTGAATTGGCAATAGTGGATTTGGTAAAAAGTAGGTGTTTCACTGGGTCATGAGACCCAGATATTAGGGTTAAAGTGTGTCTAACCCCAACAATTGTAATATATTGCAGTTGACCAGTCCTTAGATGAGGTGGTTGCTTTAGTTTTCATTTGTTTAAGGTTTTGTTTCTTTATTTCACCTGGAAATGCTGTGATTAACACACTTCCTGTTCTTGGGGCGCTACGCTCACTTACTTCACTGTATCCATGGGAGGGATTCCATGTTTTCCACACGTGGCTGTTCCCCTGATTTGGACTGCAAACATGTCTTGCTTTCTTCATCACCATGGGATTAAGGAATTAGTTTACAGAAGATAACTTGGAAGCAAGATAAGGTTGTTTGTGCTTTCACTTCAGTTCACAGGAAGTGACAAAGATGCTGCATTTCTGGCAAGATCAACAGGTATTTTCTTTACTTGCTAAAAATGTTCTTGAGAACTAATTCAGTCACCACATCTAAGGACTGGTAAGAAGCAATATATTGAATATGTTTTCTTAGGTTTGGCTATACTTTAAACTAGAGAATTCCTTGCTGTTTCAGAAAAAGCTTACATAATTTACCTTTTTGATTGGCAGGTCTGAACACGTAAGCGCTACCTGCAATTAAATGTACTCAGTAAAAGTTTGGTTTTATCCAGCCCGTGGTGTAGCTGGATATCCATCTGCAGAGTATTAAATAATTACACCTATTAGGTTTTTATAAGGTCTGTAAGCACCAGTTTGATGTTGCCAGACGGGTGATCTAAGCAGTTTTCCGTGCCAGGGAAAGAGCGGATTTGGATGCCCGCTAAAGCCTGGTCATGTTACCCATTTGTGAGCCGCTTCCTATAAACCTGAACATTAGGAGTTTAGTGAAATGGAAAAACCACATCTTCAAATAAGGATATTTTTAGCCAGACCGCAAAGTTTAGTCTACTTTTTCCATATGGATGAGCTTGTTGGGGGGGTGAGTACGGTCTGTTCATCATTCTTGCATCAATGTCACTGACATTTTACAATGTATAGGAGAAGAGGCAAATTGTCATTATTGCAATGTTGAAGTTAAAAGAGAATTTAGCCTAAAATAAGAAAAGTTGCTTTATAGGAAGGAGCCGATAATGGCATTCACAGTCTTGCATGTGAAAGCTTATTTAATGTAGCCGTGTGCACCGAAATTATAACTGAAAAAAACAAAGTTCAGGAATCGTAAAAATGTTCAGATTGGTTCAAGGTGCTACGGATTGGTGGAGTGTTAGAATGGCTGTGTGTTGGGTGAGAGAAGACCATTGTCCTTGTAGGGATCTATGTTAAAATAATATGTTGTTTATGGCTTTTTGTAAAAATAATAAAGACTAAATATTTAAAAAAAAGGTGCTACGGATTAAAGTTAGATTATGATGTAAATATTTATTTAAAGGGACAGTCCATCCAAAGATGACATTTTAGCTGTGGGTGGAGTGTAGAGTAGTGGGCTGAGTTTGCTTTCTAAAGGTATTGGGAATCCCAGTGCTGAGATACCCTTGCCATAGTTTATGGCCCTGTTTTTGTTTCTGATGTCTGTTGCATTTTGTATAATTTATTTGAACTCCCACATTGTGCATGTGACAAAAGTGCAAACATAAGAACTAAATCACAGACAGGACCATAACTGTAAATTACAGTGTCCTGTAGCAACATTTTGATAGGGCCCCTATCCCTTGTAGGTGGCCTATAATGCTCCTTTTTTCACACTGTTTTTTTACATCTGGTCCTAAGTGGGTGTCCTATAATAAATATGTTCCTGCTGATGCCCCTTAAAGAGATGTGTCACCTTCCTTTCCCTTTCTGGATAAAATAAGTGTGTGTAGAGCCTAATCTTCCCCCCACTGGTTATACTCACCTCTCCTGTTCTTCCCACCGTTCCTCCTTCTGTGGTCCACACTGCAAAATACTATGCTTACAAGTATAGGGAAGCATGTGACCTCCTACCATTATGCAATGCTGAAACCTAGTAGCCAATCCCTAGGTAACATTGCTGCTCCCTCTTAGCCCCAACACTGGGTATTTTGGTGTCAGCTGCGACACAGAAAGGTTTGGTGGAGGATCACTGGAGAGGGGAGTATAAGGTGGTCAGGGGGTGTGCTATATACAGACACCTTTCACTTTGTCCTAGATAGACACAGTAAAATTCTCTCTTTATCACTGGTGGTCACTGTAATTGAACACTTTCAAATAATAGTCAGGCAATCTTCATGGGTCACTCCTGAGTCCACAGGTACAGGCAGGGTCATTACGGGCTCCACTTCCTCCTTATGAGCGGCATCTGTGCTAAACCTGAGCTGATATCAACCTATGTAGTCAGCCAGACCAAAGCTTCAATTCACAGATGATTAAAAACAATCTCTCACTGATGAAGATAGTTGAGCATTTTATTGCAATTTCTTATATAGGTATAGACCGGGCCCTCGTCTGCCTCTGGGCCCCATAGCATCTACATTAGTTTGCTATGTCTGCAGTTATGCTCTAGACATCTTAATAAGGTCTCTGCTAGACTCCTCAATATTTCTAAGAAACCTGTAATGGGATTATCCATTTTAATTGGGCTGACCCTTTATCTTAATAAAATATACTTATGATTTCTTTGATCTCATAAACTGAAAAATTATATTCTGCTCTTTAAAACAAGTGGTCTGTTGTTTCTAGAACTGACACATAAGACCTTTTACAGCCTCAAAATCCAAGCTGTATTACGTGCAAGTCGCTTTGTGGGCCTGGAGCAAATGCCATTTCTGACCCTTTATTAAAAAAGCCTAGATCACCCCACAAATGATTACTAATAACTTTCCTTGGTATAATCCTTTTCCTGGCAACACTGGAAACAATTCTGGATAGAATTTGATCTTGGAACTTTTTAAAGAGTCATTAAGTCAGCTTTTCTGGAATGAACAGAACTTTCACTTTATAGCAGGACAAACTAACTATTCACAGTCCCGACAAAACTCGTGTTACAGCTGCAGATGTTTGGGTGGCTGTGTTCCACCCAGAGGCCAGTCCTGTTCTTATAGACCTGTAACATTGTTTTCTAATTTTGGGTTTCTTCCTAATCCAGTTCTCTAATTATGATTCTGTTGTGACAGGTGGGTACGGGAATTTCTCAATGAAGAAAATAAAGGACTGGATGTACTGGTGGAATATCTTTCCTTTGCACAATATGCAGTCACGTAAGTCAATTATTTAGCCAATAAAACATTACATCAGTTTTTATGCTTTTTTTGGTAAAAATATGTTTTCATTAGACCTCATATCATTTATATAGCTTATAAATTCTTATAGATGTAAAAGCTTTGGCAGGATTATTCCTTGCATTTTCCAGCATAGCGATATAAGAGGAGAAGAACATTTTAAAGGTTGATAGAACCTACATGTAATATACAGTTCAGGAAAATGCTAGAGCAAGGGGCAAACCTGCCTACGTACAGTGTTATATGGCGCCAGTGCCCCTAGGTGCCAAGTCATTGCAGTGCAGTCAGGATCTATCTCACCTAACACACCTACCGTTTAACCTTGGAGCTTAAAGGAGAACTATGGGGAGAGTGAAATGCACTCATCCCCATCGTTAGAGCCAACATGTGACACTGCAGCTGTCACACGCCAGCTCTATAGCTCGAGCACTAAGTGATCACAAACCGCTGATTGCTCAATTCCCTGCAGAGTGCAGTGACTGTCAGTCACCTCCTCCCCGCAGGTATTCTCCCATCCCCTCTCTATTCCACCAGCGCTCAATGGAGGGACAGACAGGGGAGGAGGCGGGCACAGCTGGCCTTTTTCTCTAGAGAGGCAGAGCCAGCTGTCAATCAGATAGTGGGGTGGATCCTGACAATATTTTCCGGATCTTATCTGGCTGCAGCACGGCTCTGGGTTTTGGGTCACAGGAGGTCATTAGTAAATTGGGGTGAAAATGTGTTGGCATTGCTCACTGTTCAAATTCCTACTGACTGGTTGAAATTAGAGCACTGTGTGGAACCATAAGTAGTTCCCTACGTTCAACAAAAGTTGATTTTCAGTCAACTTTTGTCACTGTTCTAGGTATTTGGTATTTTTCTACTAAAAACAAGCAGGATGGGGGAAGCGTTTTGTCTTATTTAGCTGATCAGTAAAAAAACAGCCAGTGTATGGCCAGATATAGAGCGTTGTCATTGGAACAGCTGTAAAGCTGGCTATAGGGACAGAGATTTGGAATTCCTATGATTCTCTGTCCTGGTAACAATGGTCAGCATGACAAAAACAGAAGGTGAATCTTACAATAAAAACCTGGCCGAGGTACTTTCTACGATAATCTAAAAAAAATAAAAATTAATGGTACAATGTCTACCTTTCTGTCACTCTGGGCACCCCCTGGGATGTGTCATTGACACATCCCATAAAGGAGTAGTCCTTTATGAAGGAAGACCACTGGTTGGTTACCGCTGGAGCAGCCGGTGGAAAAGCTATGCTCTGTTCATTTTATAATTTCAGCTTTCACAACATTGGGAGGTGTAAATTAAGTGAATTTCATATCAAGGTGTTGTATCCACATAAAGAGACAATGATGACACGCAAATGCAGAGGCAGTGGCCCTGTTTACATGAATGTCTTTCAAAGGCACCTGCAGCTTGAACATTTAAAATGTAGGCCTGTTGATTGTGAGCATTTCAAGTGCCTCTTCTTAAAATAAAAAATTTGGCAGCGGTGACTGCATTATTCACTTTCCAGAAAGCTGCCATGATGGAAAAATTCCATTTTTAATAGAATTACTAACATTTGAAAATGGCACACAGCACAAAGGCCCCCTTGTCTGCCGATAGCTGTGTATGAGTAAACATGACCCAACTTGCCATTTGGTCACTGGGATGGAGACAAAATTAATTAGCGAAAATCTAATAAAGTTGTGTGTTATGCCCCGTTTTCAGAGAAGTCACAATGGATAAAGTCCAGTGTACACTCATAATTGACAATTACTGAACAGTTGCAGTAAATCTACATGAAGGAAGAACAACAGGCTTTTTTTAATGAGCCAATGCAAGGAACAAAGCCCAGTAATCCCTAGCAACCAATCAGATTGCAGTTTACTGCCATAAAAGTGAGAGGTTAATTCTGATTGGTTGCTGTGCTTTACTATGCTTACATAAGAGGATCAACTTGACAACCTGCTTTGCTAATCAGAAAGTACAGCCCAAATGTGGCTGCCGGCATGTACATATACTGACAACCTATACATAGAAACAGTTATTTAAAGCATTAACACGCATTGTTAAGATTATTATTTTTATTAAACTGATCTTTTTTACATATATTTCAAACCAAAAACTAAAAGTTAGGTAATCTACTCTAATAAAAATATTACTTAGACATACAAAGTGGGCTTTGCATGAAAAAAGCAAGGTCTGCTGGTTGAGTGGGGGTGGCGGGGCTGGTCGGGTGGTGTTAGTACCTTACCCCTAGGTTCACCTGTGGCACCTAGGTGAGGATGATATCAAGTTCCTTTTGGCAAGATCATGGGAATGCTGAGTGTTCTAAATCTCACCAGAAGACGCTAGTGCACTGTGCTGTAGCGGTTTTTCATGAGGTTTGCAATACTGTGGATCACACTGGATCACACAGTGTAGAAGAGGGGAAAAAGGTACGTTTATTTATCAACCATTATTACCCCTGTTTATTTCTTTTTTCTTTCCTGCAGTGGTTTCCCTTGGGGTGGGGCTAATAGGGGTTGATTTACTAAAGGAAAATAGGCTGTTCACTGTGCAAGGGAATTTTCCATTAGCTCAGTAAATGAAGTGAACTTGGCTGACTTCTAACATCCAATCATGTGCAAGCAAAAATACTGTGTTATTTATATTCATTACATGTGAACGGGTATACTTTGCAATGTGAATTTTCACCACATTCACCAAGCTCAGTGAAAATTCCCTTGCAATTGGAAAGTCTATTCGCCTTTAGTAAATCAACCTCATAAAGTGGACCTTGCTTGTTTATAGAAGATCAGTTTAAAAGTTTGTGTGTCGTTTGTAACCATCTATCTATTTTAATGTATTGATTCATTTTCCTTAGGTTTGACTTTGAGTGTCTGGAGAATAATGTAGAAAACAATGTTGACAAGTCGAAACATTGGAGCCGGTCCATTGAGGACTTACATAGAGGTGGCAACCTACCTTCTCCTGTTGGGAATAGTATTACTCGGTCAGGCAGACATTCTACCTTAAGGTAAGTTGTTTAAATTGTTGCTATATGTACTATTAAATGTTACATATTCTTCTCAGTGTTAGGCTGGGTTATAGCAAAATATCCAATTGTGCTCAAGGTTCAAAATTAATATGGACAGGATAACTGCACCAACGCTTGCCTGCATAATGCAATGTCTCAGAGTATATTCATCTGCTTCATCTTGGAATAATAAGTAGAGTGGAGACAACCAGCCTCCAGCTAAGAAAATCTGGCTGTGTGTTTATCCTTACAGTATATCTATGGCCCCACTCACACGGGGACTTATGCTGCATTCAGTGATTGCTGCAGCTAGAACTTGCAGATTCTTGTGGCAGGAATCCCAGGCGTCCCTGGTCAGATGCTGCTTTACCAATTGAAGTTAATGACAGGGTGACAGTGGCCGCATCTGCCAGCGGCAGTCCACATGTAATCGTACATGGTGCCATTACCTTCAGTTTGAGATATAGGATTGTCCCTTGATGCAGGACAGATGCGTGCAAGGACAATCATCTATCCCAAACCACATGTAATTGTACCATGTACGGTTACATATGGACTGACGCTGACAGATACAGCTGCTATCACTAGGGATGTCCCAATACCACTTTTTCAAGACCAAGTACAAGTACAAGTACTTGCCCTCAGGTACTTGCCAATACCAATTACTGATACTTTTTCTGAAAGGGACATGTGACAATTTTTCTAAAACAATGCAGAGTAATGATTTTAGGGCAGTTTCTCACCTTATATTGGTGGCCATTGAGAAGATTGCCCCTAACATTGGTAATTGCTGAAAACAATGTCCCTTGCATTGGTGGCCAGTGTGAATAATGCCTCTTACATTGGTGTACAATGGGATGAATGCCACATACACTGGTGTCCAGTGGGAGGAAAATTCCTTACATTGGTGGTCAGAAGGAAGACCACCATACACAAGTATACAATAAGAAACACGCATCATTTTGCAAAGTTTGTCACTCATAGTAGACAGTCTTCATACACCCCGAACACAGGATCTATCTCCCGGCTCTCGCTCTTCCCCGGAAATTCCACACTGCACAGTACAGTCCACAGACAGAGTTGCATCACGCTGAACACTAACTACCGCCATGCTGTCACACTTCCGTCCAGAGAGGTCAGAGCGGAGTGGGAGGCTGTGATTGGTGGAGAGCGTATTCCGGGGGAGAGGCTATGCGGGTCACTGGCTTCCCACGCGCTGCCTTCTGTCTGTCCTTACTCTCCGGCAGCCAAAACGATGTGAACATTTTTTAAAGGGCTGGTATCGGCTCTATGTGTCATTGACTTCAATGGGTACAGTGGCCCCATCTGAATGTAGACACCTGGCATTCCTGTAGCAAGAATCCGTAGGTTCTTGTTGCAGGAATCCCTGAATGCAACAACTCCCCATGTGAATGGGGCCTAAGATCGTTGACAGGTGTACAAGGGAATGTAACCAGTGACAACAAGTAAAATAAAGTAATACTGTATATAATGTCTTACCAGGTACAGACCACGAGAGAAAAATGTTATACGGCTCTTTGTTTAAAACTTGTTTTATAACCAGATTTGTTAAAATCAAGCAAATCCTCTTGATACATAATGTCTGTGACATTGGATTGTGCATGAATTTATAGCATTTCCGGGCAGGATTATATTTCTTACAGTTAGTTATATTAAACTATAGAAAATGAACAGAATTACAATCTAATACAGTCTCTAAAATCTCCTCTAAGCTGACCACAAATGTTACAATCTGATTATACAATCTCCTTTAGCTCTGCCAACAACTATGTAGTGCAAGGGTCCATCCGCTTGGATACAAGTTGATTGCATAGATTAGGTAGGTCATCGTACTACATAGTTTTGGTAGATGAGAAATTGATTGTACAGGGATTGTATAGTCAGATTGTAACATGATGGGTGACCCTTAGATTTGCCAAAACCTGTTAATGTGAGGGTCTACACAAGTCATTCAGTTTGAATCCAATCAAGCAGGCCCTTGCACTTCATAGTTGTTGGTGGAGTGAATGGAGATTGTACAATCAGATTGAAACATACATGACCAGCTTTAGATGTTCTGTTATTGCGATCAGTTGGAGACATTCCTGCCTTTTCATTCTGGTGACCATACGGGACACGAGGAGTATCTTTCCAATGGGGACAGCAATAACAACCCAACAGGGGTTTTAAAGCTTCTCCATTGTGCGCAAAGCTGTAAAAAAGATTTGGCTAGATTTTCCCTTTAACTATATTTGTTTTTATGCCTGCAATAAACTCTTACATTCTGCAAGACTTGTGAGCACTTAACTATTTGAAGAGACAGCACGTGCAAATACGCCTACATTACTAGTGTACATTGCTGCATAAGTGTAAAATCAATAGACCTGTCGGAGGGTTTGCTGATGTATGGAAACCATGTATTGACTGGAGATGGCTTGACTTCCATAAACTGCAGTGCAGCAGAGATCACACGATGATTAACAGGGATAGTTTGAAGTGCAGTCACAACAGATGTTAGACACTTATTTTATGGATTGTCTGCTGCTTTGATTCTAGAGAGAAAATGTCACTAAAACCCAATCGTATATTTATGGTGTGAGGTTTATTAGCGTTCTTCCAAGTACTGCAATTATAGCTTTCCCAGCATTCAGTGCTAGACGCTCATTGATTAGGTGATGTATTTTACATTTTTCTTAACTTGGCAGTCTGCAGTGAACAAGAACTACTTTGCAGTATGCAGCTAAAACTCTGAAAAAGAAGAAGGGATAATCTGGGTAATTGGGTTTTTGCAGGTCTTGGAGTGGATGCTCCCTAACCCACCTACAGGGTTTTAAAGCATAGCATGACCACTGCTGATCTAGAACATCAACCTTACTAGACCTTATTGGGGGTGGTGGTTTTGGTTATCCATGGGTCTTTGTTCTGGTTCAGCAAAGGCCTTGTGATCCTTTTAAAAACTCAGGGTTTGAGCATTAACTTAACACATATCAGTCACAAATCAGCATCCATAGGCAAGGGGCTGGAAAGATGGAAAGTTGTGAGACTTCTCTTGGGGTCTTTAAAGACCTGCCTGGCAAACCATTTGCCATTGACCCAGAAGCCTTCTTTCTTTTTTGTTTGCATACATTTCTTAATGTTCACTGTACTTATGTTCTAGGTCAGTTTACAACAAGCGTGTTATAGTTTATGAGATCGTGGTTTGGAACACGTTGAAGGCAGTTGTGAGAACCTCATTGACAAGATATGCCCCTGGCCATCCAAAGTCGATAGTCGATAGTTGATGCTCTCCTTATTTTCCTTGTGCTGCTGCTTGTATACTGTCCCTTGGCATAGTCATGTATAATGCAGGTCCACAGGAATACACAGAGTCTTGCCATCTGTGTGAATAAGGAGCTAGTCAAAGACACAGTCACACACTCTAATATTTCTTGGACCACCTTTAGCTTTGATCGCGGTACACATTCGTGGTGGCATCATTTCGATGAGCTTATGCAATGTCACAACATTTATTTACATCCAGAGTTGTTCTACTTATTTTTCACCAAGACCTTGTAGTGATGATAGAAGAGTCAGACCACTGTGTAAAGTCTTCTCCAGCACATCCCAAAGATTCTCAATGGGGTTAAGGTCTGGACTCTGCTGTGGCCAATCACTTGTGTGACAAGAATGTCTCACGCTCCCTGAACCACTCTTCCACAATTTGAGCCCGATGAATCCTGGCATTGTCATCTTGGAATATGCTCAATGTGCCATCAGGGAAGAAAAGACCCATTAATGGAAAAACCTGGTCATTCAGTATATTCAGGTAGTCAGCTGACCTCATTTTTGGGCACATAACATTGCTAAACATAGACATATTATCCAATTGAAGGCTCTGGCATATTTGCATATCTAAATCCAGGTAGTGACTTTTTTTTTTGGACAGTGTATACAGTATATATATATATATATATCTATCTATCTACTGATATATAGATAGATAGATAGATAGATAGATAGATATAGATAGATATCTATCTATATATATACAGTATATAATATATAGACCACTAGCTGGCTGTTGCCAGTAGCAATGAGCTGTTGATGCAAGCTGTGAGAGCAAGTAGACAAATAAAGCAACTGATCTGAATGGTGTAATAAAATAACCCAAAATCACCCTTATCTTGAAAGGGTTAATTCATTTTCTTTAAGCTGAAGAAAATCTTAAAATGAAAATGCCGTGTAAAAGCTTAGTAAAGCAGCCCACCGGGGACAGTTAATATAATTTGTAGCATCAGAGATTACATGCATCGACATGGCAACAGAGTATACACAGAAGTTTGAGGTGGTAACTTCATAATCCAGCGTGTCCCCATAGAGCCATGTCTTCTCACCCAGAAGGAATATGTGTCTTATTTATAGCGGACATTAATTTCCGCTCGACTAAACACCAGAGGAAAAAAACCAAAGTCACGTGCCTCCATCGGTCAATACGGGCAGAAGCTAACGCATTTTTTGATTAAGAGAAACAGCAACAAGTACAGCTATATAAAAGATGTAGAGTCTTCAGAATGACCGCAGGGGGGCGGGAAGGGAGTCTGGAGAGTTTTTGTGTTGAAAGTTTCCAACTAAAAATTGCTACTGCAAAGAAGAACTCTGGTCTAAACAAAATCTTTTCAATGGTTTCTGATTCCGGAGCTGTTGCGATTTGTCACTATAGCTGCTAACAATCTTGTTTCCATTCCTGAAGTTGGTAGGAGTGTTAATGTGGAAGTTAAAGTTGAACTCTGGTCTCTGAACTATGTGCAGTCTTCAGGCAAAATTGATAAACCAGTTACTAGAGCTAATCCTGGGAAATCCTGTGCACAGACTGATTACTGTTGCCGTGTTTGCAAAGAACAGAAATCTATTTTTTTTGTGGTTTTTCAAGATCATAGCTGATTGAAAATACAAAAATCCACACTTGAGGGATGTTTCCGAAGACATGAACACAACTCTTACATTTTGAGGGACTCAAACAT